ATACCTATACGACCACCCTTCGGGTGATAAGGAGGTTGTGGGGGGGGGAGAGGAGGGAACCAACATCTGACTCAATCGATCTCACTATCGATCTCACTCAACGGGACACCACGGGACACCACGGGACACCACGGGACACTTGTCGATCTCACTATCGATCTCACTATCGATCTCACTCAACGGGACACCGCGGGACACCACGGGCCACCACGGGACACCACGGGACACCGCGGACACCTCTCGATCTCACTATCGGTCTCACTATCGATCTCACTATCGATCTCACTCAGCGGACACCACGGGACATCCTCTCGATCTCACTATCGATCTCGATCTCACTATCGATCTCACTATCGATATCACTCAGCGAGACACCACGGGACACCTCGGGACACCACATCGATCTCACTATCGATCTCACGATCGATCTCACTATCGATCTCACTCAACGGGACACCACGGGACATCGCGGGACACCTCTCGATCTCACTATCGATCTCACTATCGATATCACTCAGCGAGACACCACGGGACACCTCGGGACACCACATCGATCTCACTATCGATCTCACGATCGATCTCACTATCGATCTCACTCAACGGGACACCACGGGACATCGCGGGACACCTCTCGATCTCACTATCGATCTCACGATCGATATCACTCAGCGAGACACCACGGGACACCACGGGACACCTCGGGGCACCACATCGATCTCAGTATCGATCTCAGTATCGATCTCACTCAACGGGACACCACGGGACACCACGGGACACCTCGGGGCACCACATCGATCTCAATATCGATCTCACAATCGATCTCACTCAACGGGACACCACGGGACACCACGGGACACCGCGCGGCACCGGCCGCCGGAGGAGAAACATTTGGTCCGGCCGCGGCCCAGCCACAGGAGGATTTCGGGACACCAGCGGGACACTGGCGGGACACCGCGCGGCACCAGCCGCCGGAGAAGTTACATTTGGTCTGGCCGCGGCCCAGCCACATGAGGATTTCCTCTCGCCCGCCCACGCAGCTTCGCCTCGCCCGCACGCACGCACGGCACACACGACACGAACCCGAAACCGAAATCGATTTCCCGGTAGGGGGGTCTCTGTTTCACGTCGGACTCACCTTCCAACCTCCGATATATATATATATATATATATATATATATATATATGCACAGACACCCGCCGACGAACTCTGTATGCTCCTTCAGGGAGGGCGGCGGACTTTAGAGTCGCTGGCTCCCCGGTGGTGATTCATACACCGCCAGCCTCCACTGAGGCCCAGGAACAATCCATTGGAGGGTGTCGGTGCTTAGTCGTCCCTGTAAAAGAGAAGGCCTGATTTTTCACCGGTTCAATGTTGCCGTGTTTTGCTGGTTCATTCGCGGTTTGATTGCCGGCTCCGTCGCCAATTTTGTTCCGGTTCCGGTTCAAGTTCCACTCCTGGAGCCGTTGTTTGCCGTTTCTGGTCGCCGTTCGTTTACCGTTTACGTTTTCAAGACACATTTTTTCGAAAACGGTGACAAAACGACCCTGCAATTTCTGGGGCCCACTAAGTGTCTATATTTTTGTTTGCGGCGGATGGCTCCCAGACGGCCTCAAGAGCGCCCAGGAGCGCCCCAGAAGCGCCCCAGGAGGTCCCCAAGGGGCGATTTGGCAGCCTCCGACGGGGGAAACTGCAATCGAAGCCCTCTTTGATCGAGGGCCTCCAAGATGGCCCCAAGAGCGCCCCCAGAGAGCCCCAAAGAGATCTCCAAGAAGGCCCCATGGAGGGCGCCAAGGCGGCCACAGGAAGGCCCCAAGAGAGCTCCAAGAGCATCAAAAACGACCCCAAGAGGACCCCAAGATTGCCCAAGTAAGCTTCCAAAAGGGCTCCTATGTCGACAGACCGGCAAAGGCATTCACGGCTGACTCCTGGGCCTGCTCAGGATGATCCAAATCTTCGGTTTGACGGTCGCCCCCCTCATTGTTCCACTGCGTGATCCGTCACTTCCCTGACCAATGCAGCTCGCCTGGACATCGTTGCTGGATGGGCTAATGGGGATACGCAAAGCCTCAAGCATTCGCGATATTCCGCCACTCATCCCTCAACACGCGCGCGTGCACACGCACACACGCCTACCCATCTCTTGACGCCTGAACGAGTGGACTCGTACCACTTGCAGCTCACACATGGCTGACTCACTGCTTGCCCATGGCCTGGCCTACAGTACTCTGATCATACATTGCACGCTGCACGCCGCTGATATCTGATCTTTCCTGTACACTGCCCCTGACGTGGCCGAGCGGAGACTGACTTACAGCTCGCTGGTGGATTCTCTACTGCCCTGCGAGACATGCAGCGGAGGGGCGTGGCTGAATCAATCAGTATGACACAGCGTACTGGTATATGAAAAAAACTAAAAAGTCTCATGCCAAAGAGAGTTGATACTGGTGGATTGCAGATCGCCCTGACAGCCATGAGAATCCCCGCGTCAATGGACGAGGCCTCGAAGAGAAGTTCCAAACGCCCAACAAGGGGTGGCCCGAGAGAGGTTGGCTTCTAAGGCGGGAGGCATCTGACAAGGCAGCGGCATTATTGGGAGGTCCTGGAGGCTTCTTAGAAGTCTTCTCAGAAGCTGTACGGGCTTTCAAAAAGTACCCATGCCTTTCTTGGAAGACCCGCCGCTTTATTAGAAGCCCACCTGCACACCATTCTCGCCACTCTCTTCTGGGCGCCGCCGACCAGAGCGAGAGACTCTGATTTGTTTCGGGCACTGTGAGGACTGGGTTTGGTGGGACCTCGTTTAGTCATGCGTGCTGGGGGACGCCTCCCCTGCCCCGTTCCACTAACCTGACAGGCCGTCACCCGAAAGGCACAGGCTGCGGCAGACCTGGCGTAGTGATTCTGGTATAAGGTTTAGCTTCGGGGCCCTATCGCTGACAGGCTCCCCCTTCGCGGGGCTCCGGCTATACCCGACGGCTATGTGGGGGTACAGATCACATATTGCGTCCTCGAGCAGCTGGCCTTCACCATCGCACCAGCCTTCGCCCAGTCCGTGCTCTTAGAGGCCTCCCAAGTGGGGCCCGAGCAGATGGGGTCGGAGGACCGCGCCGCATCGCCGATGAATCACCGCTGCATCGGCGATGTGTCGGCGACGTCGGCGATGCAGCGGCGACGAGGGAGCGGGGAAAACCTGGCCCCACATCGAGCCGCATCGCCGACGCATCGGCAATGCGGCGCGCTCCTCTGACCCCATCTGCTCGGACCCCATCTAAGAGGCCTAGACTCAGGGCCCCATCTCTGCACCGCCCAACTCCGCGCGGGCTCCCCCGCCGCAGCTGCCGCCGGTCCTGCTACCGATCGGCCCGCGCCGGGGCCCGAGAGAGAGACCCGAGCTGCTCGCGGGCACTCGTCCGGGAGGACTTCCTGGGGAGAGGCTGCGAGGAGCCCCACTGCCCACTGCACTCGTCCTGCGAGGGCCCTCCGAGCCCGTCCGCTCCGACCCCACCTGTGCGGCCTGGAGCCTCCGAGATCCCCGCGCTGCTGCTCGAGCTCGCGGCCCCCGCCCAAGACAAGACGTGCCCCCCCGAGCGGCGGGGGCCGCCGCCCGCGCCGCGGCCCCGCGCGGGCCGAGCTCGGGACGCGAGGCCTCGTCGCCGCCGGAGCGACGGGGAGGAACGAGCGAGCCGTCGGGGCGCAGATCGGCGGCGCGCCCCGCGGGGGGCGGCGGGCCGGCCTGCTCGGGGGAGGCCGCGGGGCTTCTCGGAGGAGCCCCCGCGCCTGCTGAGGTCTCGGGCGTCGGCAGAACTGGGTTGAGTGGGGCCTGGTTCAGTGATGGGCACTGGGGGACGCCCCCTCCGCCCCGTTCCACGAACCGGAGCTGCCGCCACCCGAAAAAGCACAGGTTGCGGCAGACCTGGTGGAGCGATTCTGGCCAATTCAGGGGCTCCGGGGCCCTACCACTAACCGGGTCCCCTTACCTGGGGTCCTGGCTATACCCGAAGGTCCCCCCTGCCTTTGGAGGGGGCGCAGAAAACTTCTCGGGAGTCTGGGGCGCGCAAACATGGATTAGGGATCTCCCCCAAAATGCTCCCGGTGCCGCCTCGTTCGGCGGCGGGAATCCGCGATTTCCCACGGAAGCGAGACCCATCCACGCCCCGTTGATCCATGCTTGCGATCGCCTCAGGAAGGCCCGAGGCCTCCCGAACGTTCTGAGAAGGCCGGCCCCCGCTGCACTGCCCCCCGGGATCGCCGCCGAGTGAGGACACGCTTGGGGAGACCAAAAGGCACCGACAGCGCTGCTCCCCGGACCTCTCTCCGGGAGTGTTCTGACCAGAACATCGAGGCGAATCCAGCGGTGGCGAATCCAGGCCCACATAGGGGAAAACTAGGGAAGGGTAGCTGTATAGGCACATGGTCCTTCTCTCATCAGAAGAAGAAACGCTATAAACATAAACTTGTGTCGCTCCGCGCGGATCCCCCTCCCTCCCCTCCCTCCCCTCCCTGGCCGGACCACCCTCCCTGGCGCGCGGAGCGCGCCAGGGGCGGCGCTGGAAGCGCCGCCAAGGGGGTCCAGCGCGGATCCAAGAAACCTGCGCGGACCTCCAAGTTTTGTATGTTGATGTCATTGTTTGCTCCCCTACACTCGGCGGTGGACAAACTTAGCAAACCTCCCTTTAATGAAAACGGACAAGGACCGAAACCGACGGACCTGGACCCGCAAAAATGACGGCCGCGCCGCCCCCTCGCGAACCGGAAACGGCCAATTCGCTGATCGACGCGTCAGGATGGGCACGAATTGGAGGAGGGCGAAGCATTTCGGAAATTCTGAGATCTGCACCTGCCCAACGTCGTCATATGACCTGCTCGTGGCCGCTCAGCGGCCGTCTCGAAGCAGGCAGCCAGCAGCCGCGTTCAGTGCGTCATGCTGGCCGGGGTCTCACGTCCCCGCGCTGCCAGTGCGCGGCTGTCTGGCCACTCAGGGGTCGGGACAGTCTGTGGCCGCTCAGTGGTCGTTCTCAGTGAGATTGCCAGCAGTCGCGTTCAGCGTGTCATTGCTGGTCTGGGGTGGCACGCCCCCGCGCAGCCAGTGTGCAATCGACAGGCCATTCAGGGGTCTACAAATTTCGGCCGCTAAGTGGCCGCATCTGGCGCAGGCAACCATCGGCGCATTAAGTGCGTTCGTTGTTCGGGGAGTCACGCCCCCACGCTGCCAGTGGATATACAGAACATGTCCGCCTGTCAATGGCGTCTGTCGTGCGCCTGCAGGTATGGTCGTCTCTGCCGAGATGAGACGAGTCACGGGAGAGCGATACTTGTTGCCCACCCACCCACCCAAGATCTTCAGTTCGATCTTCCGGATGCGCCCTTCATCTCGGACCCGCATTCCCGAGGCGTTGCCAGCACGGAGTGTTTGGGGGACTCGCAGGGGGTCCTTTGAGGTCTGAGATCTCAGGTTGCCCCCTCGATGCTGGGGGATTGAGATACACATGTTCATTCTCCCCCTATTCGAAGGAAAAATAAAAATCCTCCTCCTCCTCCTCCTCCTCCTCCTCCTCCTCCTCCTCCTCCTCCTCCTCCTCCTCCTCCTCCTCCTCCTCCTCCTCCTGCCCGTCCTGCCGGGGGAGAGGGGGGAGGAGGCTGCCCGATGCCGCACCGCCCCTCGGCCTCGCTCCGGCGGGAGATGCAGGCCCGGCTGAGCCCCGTGCCCGGGGTTCCCGAGGAAGCGCATGTGCGCGCTCTGGCCTCCGAGCCGGGCGGACAGGAGGGCAGGAAGGGAGCAGATCAGCGTCGGAGAGAGGGGGGACAGCACAGGACGGACAGACAGGACAGGACAGGACAGGACAGGACAGGACGGACCGGACACAGGACCGGACAGGACAGGACGGACACGGGACAGGACAGGACAGGACAGGACCGTACCGGACTGAACCGGACAGGACCGGACTGGGCAGGACCGGACAGGACAGGACAGGACAGGGCAGGGCAGGACAGGAGAGGGCAGGACAGACACACAGAGACAGGACAGGACGGACAGATTCCGCGCTCGAAGCCTGCCAACGCCTGGGGGCGAAAGCAAATACGGGTCCGTTCTGCTCGTCACGTGGCAGTGCCTGAAGAGCGACAGCGGCCGGCGATCGGCGGCGGGGAGGCGGCGGGGAGGCGGCGGCTGGCGGCGGGCGGCCGACTGCCGGGCCTGGAGCCCGCGTCAAGTGGCACAGTAATGGAGCACCCCTCACACAGATCGCGCCCCGGGGGCCAGAAAGCAGGTGCCTCGCCATCGCGCGGACGTCCACTCCCTGTGTTTTTGTTTCGGTCTCGCGCGTGGCTTTTTCGCCAACTGATCAAGGATGCTCCTCGCCGAGGAAAAAATGCACTGATCAACTGATCAACTGGCTTTTCGCCAACTGATCAACTGGTTTTTCGCCAACTGATCAACTGGTTTTTCGCCAACTGATCAACTGGCTTTTCGCCAACTGATCAACTGGCTTTTCGCCAACTGATCAGCTGGCTTTTCGCCAACTGATCAACTGGCTTTTCGCCAACTGATCAACTGGTTTTTCGCCAACTGATCAACTGGCTTTTCGCCAACTGATCAGCTGGTTGCCCTCGCCGAGGGCAAAAAAGGCACACGCCCGAGCGATGCCAAGGGTGCTTGGAACCCCCCTCCGCCAGGGCGGCGGACGCCCGGCCCACCCCGGCCGGCGCCCGCGGGCCGACTTCTTGGCGCACGCGCACCCCCCTCGCACGAGTCGCGCCTCCGGGGGCCCGAGGAAAGTGCACTGGTAAGAGCGGTCTTTTGAAGGGCAGATCTGCCTTCAAAAAATGGTCTGCTCTGATAAGAGCGGTCTTTTGAGGGCAGATCTGCCTTCAAAAAATGGTCTGCTCTGGTAAGAGCGGTCTTTTGAGGGCAGATCTGCCTTCAAAAAATGGTCTGCTCTGGTAAGAGCGGTCTTTTGAGGGCAGATCTGCCAGGGCAGATCTGCCTTCAAAAAATGGTCTGCTCTGGTAAGAGCGGTCTTTTGAGGGCAGATCTGCCTTCAAAAAATGGTCTGCTCTGGTAAGAGCGGTCTTTTGAGGGCAGATCTGCCTTCAAAAAATGGTCTGCTCTGGTAAGAGCGGTCTTTTGAAGGGCAGATCTGCCTTCAAAAAATGGTCTGCTCTGGTAAGAGCGGTCTTTTGAAGGGCAGATCTGCCTTCAAAAAATGGTCTGCTCTGGTAAGAGCGGTCTTTTGAGGGCAGATCTGCCTTCAAAAAATGGTCTGCTCTGGTAAGAGCGGCCTTTTGAGGGCAGATCTGCCTTCAAAAAATGGTGCTTGCTCTTGGTAAGAGCGGTCCTCTTTTGGGGCAGATTGCCTTCAAATAATGGTCTGCTCGGTACAGAGCGGTCTTTTGAGGGCAGATCTGCCTTCAAAAAATGGTATGCTCTGTTAAGAGCGGTCTTTTGAGGGCAGATCTGCCTTCAAAAAATGGTATGTTATGTTAAGAGCGGTTTTTTGAGGGCAGATCTGCCTTCAAAAAATGGTCTGCTCTGTAAGAGCGGTCTTTTGAGGGCAGATCTGCCTTCAAAAAATGGTCTGCTCTGTAAGAGCGGTCTTTTGAGGGCAGATCTGCCTTCAAAAAATGGTCTGCTCTGTCTTGGTAAGAGCGGTCTTTTGAGGGCAGATCTGCCTTCAAAAAATGAGTCTTGGCTCTGGGTAAGAGCGGCCTTTTGAGGGCAGATCTGCCTTCAAAAAAAAATGGTCTGCCTCTGGTAAGAGCGGTTCTTTTGACGGCAGATTCTGCCTTCAAAAAAATGTCCTGCTTGGTAAGAGCGGTTTTTGAGGGCAGATCTGCTTCAAAAAATGGTGTACTGCTCTGATAAGAAGCGGTTTTTTGAGGAGATCTGCCTTCAATAATGGTCGTATGCTCTGTTAAGAGCGGTTCCATGTTTGAGCAGATCTGCCTACAAAAAATGGTCTGCTCTGGTAAGAGCGGTCTTTTGAGGGCAGATCTGCCTTCAAAAAATGGTCTGCTCTGGTAAGAGCGGTCTTTTGAGGGCAGATCTGCCTTCAAAAAATGGTCTGTTCTGTTAAGAGCGGTCTTTGAGGGCAGATCTGCCTTCAAAAAATGGTCCGCTCTGTTAAGAGCGGTCTTTTGAGGGCAGATCTGCCTTCAAAAAATGGTCTGCTCTGTTAAGAGCGGTCTTTTGAGGGCAGATCTGCCTTCAAAAAATGGTCCGCTCTGGTAAGAGCGGTCTTTTGAGGGCAGATCTGCCTTCAAAAATTGTCCTGTTCTGTTAGAGGAGCGTGTCTTGAAGGCAGACACTTGCTCTTCAAAAAATGGTCTCTCTGTTAAGAGCGGTCTTTTGAGGCAGATCTGCCTTCAAAAAATGGTCTGCTCTGTTAAGAGCGGTCTTTTGAGGGCAGATCTGCCTTCAAAAAATGGACTGCTCTGTTAAGAGCGGTCTTTTGAGGGCAGATCTGCCTTTAAAAAATAGACTGCTCTGTTAAGAGCGGTCTTTTGAGGGCAGATCTGCCTTCAAAAAATGGTCTGCTCTGGTAAGAGCGGTCTTTTGAGGGCAGATCTGCCTTCAAAAAATGGTCTGCTCTGGTAATAGCGGTCTTTTGAGGGCAGATCTGCCTTCAAAAAATGGTCTGCTCTGGTAAGAGCTGTTTTTTTAGGGCAGATCTGCCTTCAAAAAATGGTCTGCTCTGTAAGAGCGGTCTTTTGAAGGCAGATCTGCCTTCAAAAAATGGTCTGCTCTGTAAGAGCGGTCTTTTGAGGGCAGATCTGCCTTCACAAAATGGTATGCTCTGTAAGAGCGGTTTTTTGATGGCAGATCTGCCTTCAAAAATAGTCTGATCTGGTAAGAGCCGTCTTTTGATGGCGATCTGCCTCACAAAATGGTCTGCTCTGTTAAAGAACGGTCTTTTGTAGGGCTAGATCTGCCTTCAAAAAGGTCTGCTCTGGTAAGAGCGGTTCTTTTGAGGGCAGATCTGCTTCAAAAATGTCTGCTCTGTTAAGAGCGGTCTTTTGATGGCAGATCTGCCTTCAAAAAATGGTCTGCTCTGTTAAGAGCGGTCTTTTGAGGGCAGATCTGCCTTCAAAAAAATGGTCTGCTCTGTTAAGAGCGGTCTTTTGAGGGCAGATCTGCCTTCAAAAAATGGTCTGCTCTGTAAGAGCGGTCTTTTGAGGGCAGATCTGCCTTCAAAAAATGGTCTGCTCTGTTTTTTGAGGGCAGATCTGCCTTCAAAAAATGGTCTGCTCTGTAAGAGCGGTCTTTTGAGGGCAGATCTGCCTTCAAAAAATGGTCTGTTCTGTTAAGAGCGGTCTTTTGAGGGCAGATCTGCCTTCAAAAAATGGTATGCTCTGTTAAGAGCGGTCTTTTGAGGGCAGATCTGCCTTCAAAAAATGGTCTGCTCTGTAAGAGCTGTCTTTTGATGGCAGATCTGCCTTCAAAAAAATGGTCTGCTCTGTAAGAGCGGTCTTTTGAGGGCAGATCTGCCTTCAAAAAATGGTCGGCTCTGTAAGAGCGGTCTTTTGAGGGCAGATCTGCCTTCAAAAAATGGTCTGCTCTGTTAAGAGCGGTCTTTTGAGGGCATGTCTGTCCTTCCCAAAAATGGTCCTGCTCTGTAAGAGCGGTCTTTTGATGGCAGATCTGCCTTCAAACAATGGGTCTGCTATGTAAGAGCTGTCTTTTGAGGGCAGAATCTTGCTTCAAAAATGTCTGCTCTGTTTAAGAGCGGTCCTTTGGAGGGCAGGTCGCCTCAAAAAATGGCCTGCCTCTGTAAGAACGGTTTGTTTGATGGCAGATCTGCCTTCAAAAAATGGTCTTCTCCTGTCAGAGCTGTCTTTTTGAGTGGCAGATCTGCCTTCAAAAATGGCTGGCTCTGTAAGAGCTGTCTTTTGAGGGCAGATCTGCCTTCAAAAAATGGTCTGCTCTGTAAGAGCGGTCTTTTGAGGGCAGATCTGCCTTCAAAAAATGGTATGCTCTGTTAAGAGCGGTCTTTTGAGGGCAGATCTGCCTTCAAAAAATGGTATGTTATGTTAAGAGCGGTTTTTTGAGGGCAGATCTGCCTTCAAAAAATGGTCTGCTCTGTAAGAGCGGTCTTTTGAGGGCAGATCTGCCTTCAAAAAATGGTCTGCTCTGTAAGAGCGGTCTTTTGAGGGCAGATCTGCCTTCAAAAAATGGTCTGCTCTGTTAAGAGCGGTCTTTTGAGGGCAGATCTGCCTTCAAAAAATGGACTGCTCTGTTAAGAGCGGTCTTTTGAGGGCAGATCTGCCTTTAAAAAATAGACTGCTCTGTTAAGAGCGGTCTTTTGAGGGCAGATCTGCATTTCAAAAACATGGTCCTTCTGCTCTGTTAAGAGCGGTCTTTTGAGGGCAGATCTGCCTTCAAAAAATGGTCTGCTCTGTAAGAGCGGTCTTTTGAGGGCAGATCTGCCTTCAAAAAATGGTCTGCTCTGTTTTTTGAGGGCAGATCTGCCTTCAAAAAATGGTCTGCTCTGTAAGAGCGGTCTTTTGAGGGCAGATCTGCCTTCAAAAAATGGTCTGTTCTGTTAAGAGCGGTCTTTTGAGGGCAGATCTGCCTTCAAAAAATGGTATGCTCTGTTAAGAGCGGTCTTTTGAGGGCAGATCTGCCTTCAAAAAATGGTCTGCTCTGTAAGAGCTGTCTTTTGATGGCAGATCTGCCTTCAAAAAAATGGTCTGCTCTGTAAGAGCGGTCTTTTGAGGGCAGATCTGCCTTCAAAAAATGGTCGGCT